GTGGGAATCCTGACAACAATTAAAGGAGACAAACTTCCAATTTCAAAACAAAGCACGATCAGCAAAGCAAACAGCAAATGACTCCAGAAATATGATGATAAGCAAAGAAACAATGAAGATGAATCACCAGTAATCAAGAAAAGACACTTTTCCCTTGGCAATTACTGCCTTTCAGTCAGAAAGGCTTATAATATCGTCTGCAGGGAGTTTACCTTGCTCTCCTGGTTGCCAAAGGCCAGAATCTGCAAGCAGTCTGTGCAGATAGCCAGGAACTTGACGTTGTTGCGGGCCAGGAGCATGACCATCTTCTGCAGGCCTCCTGCCAGGCGCACTGCCATCTTGGACCCTTCCTGGTGGAGCAGGAGATTGTGCAAGGTGGTGATGGCATAGAAGAGGACCGACTCAACAGTTGAGCTGTAACGAAATTGAAAATCTGTCTGTCAAAAGAATGTTTGAAACTACTAACAATGCTACACAAAAAATATTTGAACTTGGATTCAGAAGCTGAGTAGAATGAGAACATGAGTAACTCAAAACGTCAAAATGTAATTCAACTGACAAAAATTTTGCATGCGACAGATAAATTAAACTAAAAATAAATTAATGAATTCAAATGAATTATGGAAACATGGGGTATGAACAGTCCAGATGGAGTTTTTATCTTTGATAACCAAATCCCCGACTAGGTTTTTTTTCTTGGAACCCGAATAAACACTGAGATGATACTTCTGCTGATTGAAACAAAATGTAGCTCAAGATTTTGTGTCACTTTTTCGCACACCAGCCTGGGCACAGTGCAGTTATGCTGTTCCCTACCAACCCTTCGTCCCACTGCATTCAGCAGCTTGAAGCGGCACCTCGTCTCAACGGTGTAAGATGTTTTTTTAAATTTTCTTTGAGGTGAGGAAGTTGCTTGCAGACAGACAAGTGAGACCAGATATTTCAATAGTGTACCATTTACACAGGCGTCTTTTTTTTCTTGCTAATCATCAACAGGCACTAGTGGTTCTCACTCGCCGCTTTTTGCCTTCCGACATCTGCCACTCACCTGAGAAGCTTAACCAGGGCCGGGATCCCGCCGCTCTTGAAGATGGACTGCAGGCCGGCGCGGTGGTGGGACAGATTGTGCAATGTTCCCACGGCGCATCGGGTGGTCTCCAGGTCATTGGAATTGGACATGGCCCGCACCAAGGCCGCCACCACCTGGGGGGAGTTCATGATGGCGTGGCGGCTGGCCTCCTTCTTGGACAGCTGGTGGACCATCATGGCAGCCTGGCTGACTACCACCTGTGGGTGACAAAAAGAAGAGGTTATAGTGACACAAGCTGTACCTAACAAGGGCTTCCCTACAGCAAAGGCTACGTCTACTGCTCAGCTGCAGCTGTTTACAGAGAGAGTTGCGACTGAGGGTTTAAAATGTAGGAACCACAATGGTGGATTACTGGTATGTGTCAGTGTACGTATCGCACACAATAGCTGTTTGCTGCAGTGCACACATAATGAAGAGTCATTTTGGTTCCAAAGTCTGAAGCTGACGCTACTCTCTCCGTATATGGCTCTGCTGTTTGCATGTCCGAAAATATCTCCAATGGGCAAAGACCCGGACCTAGCTCTCGGTAATAGACTTGGATGCAGCCTCACTTTGAAAGAGTTGATCCCCAGAGACGTGTCTGATGAAGTCTTTCACGATTCCGAACAACAATGGATCTAGACATCGACTTTAAAAAAAATTTATGAAGAATTATTCTGGATCAGTGTAAAGGAAAGAGAAAATTTATCCCAAGTAGTTACACACTAGAAAAAATCAAAGGAATGCTCCACAGAACTGCTCTGGTATGACGAATGCAATATCTTGCTCACGCCAAGGGTTACTTTTTCCAACAAAAACTCAACGGTTTCCCCTTTTCACGCTCTGAATACAGACAAGGATTGAGCCAAACCAAACTCCACTCTGAATGAAACCAATCTGGGGGGACAGGAGTGGCTTCATCTACCTGGTCCTCGTCACTAAGAAGCTTGGTGAGCTCTGGGATGGCGCGCGTGGCCAGATCGGCATCATCCTGATAGTTGATGAGATTCACCACGGCGTGCTTCAGCATCTGGGAGGGCTCAGCCAGGCGCTGCACCGAAGTCTGGTGGTTGGGGTCAAACTGGGTGGACGGGATCTGGACCCCTTCCTCCAGCGTCTCGGGGAACATGGCGGCGCGCACACGCTGTGATCGCGTCTGGTTCAACTGTTGATTCATCTCTGCAAATTGAAGGAAAATGAACAACAGTTCAATTGAGTAACTGGGTAGCTGGCTTACAGTTTTTCCCTTGTTCATTACATTTGAAAACTAACATACTGCACAATCTCTCCCTTGAAATACCTTGAAGCACAAGTTTCCTACATATCTTTCAATATAAACTTATGAAGCCTTCAATTTATCACAGGATCTCTGTTACATAGGTTCATTATATCTCCAAAAGTACAAACAGTCAATATTACAGCACAGCACCACAATCAAATCATGCATGAACAGCGGCTACGCCACTTTAAAAATCATTAACTGCCATCCAGCATTGGCATGACCGATGACGAGAAATGGAAATAATATCATGAATATTGATGCCAATTAGAGTCAACCTGACAATGGAGATGGTAATTGGCCGAGTGGGACTTACCATCCACCTGCTCCTGCGTGTAAGCCTGTCCATAGCTACTGTCCCAATCAAACATGCCCTGGCCAGCACTCATCTCGGATTCTTCATCATGATGGCTCTTGCTGCTGACAGATGGGGCCTACACAATTCACGAAGTCACCAAAGATAAATATAGTTAAACTGACACTTTCTATCCCATAGTGAGAAAGTTACATTAAAATTGTTGGATTGGGGACAGGTGGGATAAAAATAACACTTTCACACAAGGTTTCTCATGCTAACTATTTTACAACAATAAAATCACTATAAAATTATGACCTGTAAGGGCAAAGATCCAAAGTATTTTTCCCGTTCGGACACGCTCAGCCGCGTTCCTGCTGTTCCATATGGGGATTAAATAAATCCAACAATAGGCCCGTTTTCCAGCGGTACAACTCCCAGCTTTGGCGAGTGCCAAGGGAAGGACCAGAGCTCATTAGAAGTTCCACTGTGTGCGTCCTTTGTGATGTTAACTACCCGTTCAACCGCATACATGCACGCCCGCGACAGCAGCAGTGTGTGAAACATGGCAAGTTAAGATACATACACAGCATGTACAATGCTGATGAAAGCATACGTTAACACAAAATTTGCGATGGTAGGGCAATGTTTCATTTTGAATACAGGTTGACTCTGGTGAATTCCACAGTGAAGGCTTCATATTAAACCACATCTCATTTGCATGGTGTATAAACATGTCTTGCAACTATGGGAAAGTGGACTATGCCACCGTTAATATTTTCAGAAAATAAGCCGCGGATTATATGCTGATTCGGATGCTGGAAGATATCCCTGCAGCTTATACCAAAGATTCTCAAGCACTGTGAAGCAGCAGCACTCTAAATCAGTCTTGGGGAGAAATCCAGTATTGTAACCAAGTCTGTGTACCATCAACACTGTGCACTTTTTGAAACAATTCTTTCATGTTGTTTGTTATTTCTTTCCACGCACACCCCAGAGAGACACACACACCACCTTGCTCTTGTGCTTAAAATAAATAAACTAGAAAGGCGAAGCCGCCATGGCTCGCTGCTTGTTATGAAATTGAATTTCTTTCCTGAAACAACTTGTGTTAAGAGATATCCAAGTTATACAAATATGGTTACTAAATTACAGGTGTATACTAACCAAGCTTCATCCAAATTTTTTACAAGATTGGTTGGCATACAACTGCAATACAGATGTAAAAGATATTTTATCGACTTTATCGATAAAATTCATTATACTCTAGGAGAAAAAACCTAGTTAGTGCTGTGTGCAGACTGTGTGTTGAAAGATGGCTGTCATTTAAACGTAAATCAACAAAGACCACCAACAAGGGAGATACGGGTACAAAGGCTTCACATCCTCCTCCCCATCATCCTATCAATCTCTTACTCCACCCCTTCCCCATCATCCTATCAATCTCTTACTCCACCCCTTTCCCATCATCCTATCAATCTCTTACTCCACCCCTTCCCCATCATCCTATCAATCTCTTACTCCACCCCTTCCCCATC